AATTCAAATCAATTTTATATTCCTCTATGCCGTACTAACAAAAGAAACTATTCTGTTCCAACTTAGAGTTAAATTTTTTTCCTATCTTGTTACTGAATTCATAACGTAACTCAGTCTCTGTTTAGTTCCTATTTTTAACGTATCACTCCGCGAATTTCATTTTATTTTTCTTAAATATTTCTTTGTGACTGGGGAGCCCAGGCTTCATAAGCCTTCTGGTTTCTTCTGGGCTCCCTTGCAACCTTACAATTCCTATATGTATTCTTGTATTGTATTATATTTTGGCTAAATAAAAATGAACTGAACTGAACTGAACGCCTTGCTAAACTTTGAAATCTCGGCAACGTGAAGCCACAAACGCGTAACTGCAAACATCAATAGATTATTAAGGAACTGGAATCTCAGGGCAAAAAATGTGGATGATACCAATTATTTATTATTCCTAGAAACTCTGATATATCAGCCTGCTATCTAGACCTCATGCATTGTCCGTGAAGCGCATGAAGTTCAGTAGTCCATAGATATGAGATGTCTCTCAATCCTAAGAAGTGTAAGGAAATGTTTACAAGTTTTATGTATGACCCATGCAAATATTGTGACAAGTCCGATATCTTCTAATTGGTGGCCAACAAGTTGAGGGTGTTGAGACAAGTCGTGGAATGATCATGCAGATTACATAACATCTAAGGCTTGTAAGAGGTTAGAAATTCTCAGGCTTCTTAAAAGGGTTGGTGTTCAAGTTTTCTATGAGTTTACCGGCGCAATAAACTATAGGTTTTGTACCAATCAGAACGCGCGTACTATCTTAGTTATTTTATTATAAAAGCCATAAATCAGATTTATTCTAGAGCTTCTCAAAGTAACGGCGTTGTACTAATTTCTGTATGTACATTCTGCTTTGTTGAGAATGAAGGGTCAAAATGAGTGTTCTTATTTTCGTCAGATTTCTCATCACTTTTGTGAAGAGTGAACATAAATTTCAGGTTGAAGTGACTTGGCAATGAAGTTAACGATTGAGTCGTGTCTCCAGGTAGAGCGATTAAGGTACTGTTGACAACCAGTGACAACATGAAGGAGTGATTCAGGATTAAGGCAAAAGGAGCAACCAGGACTATGTGATAATCCCAATCTTGCCATATTCTTTCGTGTAGGGAGGGAGTTGTTGATGTAGCGGATGGTAAAATTGTAAATGTTCTTGGGTAGATGAGACTGGGCCTCTGACCAAATAGAATTAACAGATGACAATGAATACTTGATAAAATTTGAGAAGAAGAAACGTTGAGATGTTAGGTGGTGTTGCAGTTTATCCTCTTGATTAAAACGAAAATCTTTAAGAACTTTCCTAGTGGATTTGTACATATCATATTGAATATTAGTGTGACAGCTTAACGATTTCCAGACATCTTTTAAGGAATCATATGGTGACTCTTTTAAATAATAATAATAATAATAATAATAATAATAACAATAATAATAATAATAATAATTAGAATAAAAGACAGAAAAAAAAATGGACTTATGTTATAGCGCCTTACCTATCTTTGTAGTTGTCTTCACTTCATTATTATACACGTTACGAGCAACGCAAGTATACGTGGCCTGGTCTGAGGGTTGGAACTGACCAATCACAAGCTCGGCGGTGACTTCATCTTTAGTAACGTTATTGATTACAGGTACGTTAACATTGTTCTTGTACCACCTGATTTTGGGTACAGGTGAACCTCTTGCGGAACAGTTAACTCGTACCGATGCCCCGATACTAGATACGTTGATTGAGGATGAAGGTGTTGAGGTAAATACAGGAATTTCTAGGTTGGGATAACATAAAAAGACCTGTGTAAGTGCTTTTTTCTCACATCCTTGCACTACATATTAATGTTTCCTATTGCTGAGTATGCACCTGGCTTGAGAATGACTTACTTTGTTGAGGAGTAATTCTGTAATGTAATGCGTGTCTTACATATTTTTAGGAGTTGGCCCAACGATCAGTGGAATTCTAATAACTGGAAAAAAAGCTCCTAAAATGCATTTATATCTGCCAATTTTTGAGTGGGTGTGTTATACAAATACATCGAATTTTAAGATTTGCTGTTTAAAACAAGAAACTAAGTTGTACAAGTCACTGTCAACGGAATCAAGATGAACGCCACCTTTAAAGGAAAATCTAGCTAGACCTGGTGTCTTTCGTGAGTCATCAAACTTTACACTCAATGAACTTCTAAGGATGCTAAAACCTACAGGGACTGGATTAAACACGTAAAATAAGGAGTTATTGGTACGGATAAGAATTTAAGGCTTTTATTTACCAACTGCCTTGACGTTGAGAAATGTTCCATGAAAGACCAAACCATACATATTTGTGGCAAAACACGTGTAGACACCGCTGTCCATGCTTTGGGTGTTTTTAATGTATAGTCCGTCCTTTCTCACCTCAGTGCGTCCCTGAGGTAGAGGGACCGGAGGAGATCTAGACCACTGAACATCAGGGGCGGGGTTTCCAAGGAGGTCACACCGTAACTTTGTTTCTTTTCCCAGAAAGCCAGTCACCTCTCCTGGAATAGGCTTGGGGAACTTCGGGGGACCTTCAAGATAAATAAAGTGTAAGATTTTATGCTTTACTTGGGTTGTACACCTCATGCTTGAAGACTGCCGCGTTAAATCTCCAATCTCCTGCATGATGAGCCTTAAAATAAGTGCACATAGAGGGTCTCATACAGTCAACTCGCCCTTTCCGGACACCTTGCCCTTACCGACACGGTGGACACCCCCCTTACACGGACAGCTGCTGAATCTGCGGCAAAAATTACAGACATTTGACTGAAACAAACTCCCATTATTACGGACTAACCGACACCTTTCTCGGTCTCAACAGCACAATTTTATGTTCTATTCTGGTTACAAAGGATATCAATCAGCATTTTTGAACATTTTGGCAGAATTATCTCAGATTATAATTTATTTCTTCCTCTTGTTCTCTTCGTCCCTGTCACTTTGGTTAAAAAGTGAACTTTCCGATTCCCGTTTAACGTGATCCTTCTATGAAACTACCATACTTACTTCCAAAAAACAGTCACGATGCACTTAATGTACATAAATTGGATTTTAATTTCTAGTACCGTACTTTCTGGTTTTTTTGTACTACAAATTTTTCAGTGACTGTTGTGGTGAAAGAAAGGGAGATGCAAATTCTGTTCTGTTACGATTTGTCTTGTTTCTAAATAAAGTTCTGACGCTCTTTTTAAGCGAAAACTGCACTGCAATTGGTTCTGGAGATAATGTACAATATAATTGCGGACTCTTGCTATTACAGAGTGGACACTGAACCGCGGTCCCGAGGGTGTCCACAATAAGGGGAGTTGACTGTATATACAGTCAACTTGCCCTTTCCCCAGACCTCGCTGTATAAACGGAAATTCGGATTACGGTCTGCAGTTAAATCGTCTTCAAAACATTCCGTCTAGATTTGACTGAAACAACCTTGCACTATTACAGACTTACCGACATTCCCGCCTTCATAATAATTGTTAGTTATTATTCGGACTCTCTATATCGTTACAATGAGCGACGGTTATTAATCTTTTTAAATCTTTCAACATGCTAACACAATTGCAGTAAATATCCTGTCCTTCCTTGACCTCGGCTTGTTTGTCATGTATGGTAGGATTTGTGATTCTCCTCTTGCGTTTTGGTCAGTGTAAATACATGTGCTCTTTGAAATGTTCTTTATAAATTTTGAACAATTTTTTATGCAGAAATATGCCTTGTTAATTTTTTTTGGCGGAATATTATGGGTTTCATGAGACCGAAATATTTTTACTGAAAATTTAATTTTTGCCCTTTCCAATGAGGTATGGCTTTATATGGAACTGTAAATAACAGAGTTGCATGGTCAAAAATACCTTTTCCAGGAGGGGAAGACAATGAGTTAATAAAGGCAATTCTCCTTGGACTTAGGTAGACTAACCTGCAGCCTCGATGGCGTCCTAGTAATGGTAGTTGACTGCGCTAAATTTTCTCGAAAAAGTGCGCTCTTGCCCGTTACAATACATTATAATCAACCTATTCGAACTAGCGCCCCCTCCCCTCTCCTTCCGCTTTCTTAAAATACCGATATTAGAATTAAAGAGAGCTTTTCTCTGGCTTTTTAATTACTGTTACGTATAGTACTTTTTACCTGTACTATACTACGTACTATAAGAGATCCTTCTTCGCATAGCATTTGATAATCAGCTCACCTAATACAGTAAGTTCTACTTTGGCTTCTTGAACACCAAATAGATTTTCGGCGCGGCACTTGATCACTCCCTCATCTCCAAAATGGACATCATCTATCTCAAACTTGTCAGTGGTAACCTTGTATCGAGTTTGGTTTTCATGGTTTTTATCTTGCAGAGTCCACGTGATCTTAGGTACTGGATTTCCTGACACAGAAATACCAATTGACAGATTTCCTCCTTCCTTGATGAAAATGAGTGGAGGCGGTTTGTTTAAGAAACGAGGAGGAGCTGTTGGTAAAGCATAAAATTAATAATAACTGAATTTAATTCGCCTAAGATCAGCTAGAGAGTAAATTAATGTTAAGATGGTGTTTAGGGTAGAAACGAGGAATGGTAATATTTGTAAGGATTCCTATATAAACAGAACATTCGAACTTTTTCTCGCTGCTATCTCAGCTGGATTGTAATGCATCAATCAGGTTAGAGAGATGAAGGAGGGTTTCAAAAAGCATGGGATTCGATCGATAAAATTTACTCACCAAACAACCTTACTTCCGTTTGATTAAAATTCTTCAATCTTTCAACGAGGTTATTAATCTCCGTTACGTTTACTTCGATGCCTTTCCCCGGGACTCCTTGGGGGCCTTGAATACCAGGCGATCCATCTTTTCCTGGTTTACCCGGTCGACCTCGACGACCGCGGCGACCTTGTGGGCCACTGGGACCTGGTACTCCTCGTGGACCACGGGGACCTGGTACTCCTGGAGGGCCCTGAGGACCTAT